TTTTGCCCTCTGGTTCTAAATTATCAAGGAAAACTGCCCTGATATTTTAGAACCAGAGGGCAAAATAGAAATTGAAAGAATCCACTGATCTCCTCCTGAAAGAGATCCCCAAAGGAAAACTCCTAGGAATGTTGTAGCCAAATTCCAGAATTCTCAGGTCAAGAAGAAGATATTGCAAGCAGCCAGAAAGAAACAATTCAAGTATTATGGAAACACAATCAGGTAACACAAAATTAAGAATTTCTACATTAAGGGTGCGGAGGGCATGGAGTATAATACTCCAGAGGGCAAAGGAGTTAGGACTACAACCTAGAATCACCTACCCAGAAAAACTTAGTATAATCCTTCAGGATAAAAAATGGCCATTCAATGAAATAGGGGACTTTCAAGCATTCCTGTGGAAAAGACCAGAGCTGAATAGAAAATTTGACCTGCAAATACAAGACTCAAGTGAAACATGGAAGAAGTAAACAGGAAAGAGAAATCATAAGAGACTTATTAAGGTTGAACTGTTTACATTACTGCATGTGAAGATGATATTTGTAACTCATGAGTCCTTTGTCAGTATTAGGGTAGTGGGAGGGAAAAAAATTATATGTGTGTATAGATAGATAGATAGAGGGCACAGGGTGAGTTGAAGATGAAGGGGTGATATCTGGAAAATAAAATTAAGGGGTGAGAGAGGATTATACTGGGGGAAGGAGAAAGGGAGAAGGAGAATGAGGTAAAATATCTCACATGAAACAGACAAGAAAAGGCTTTTACAGTGGAGGGGAAATGGGGGAAGGTGAGAGGGAATGAGTGAATCTTATTCTCATAGGATTTGGCTTAAGGGGGGAATAACATACACAGTGGGGTATGGAAATCTATCTTACCCTACAGGAAAATAAGGGGGAAGGGGACAGGAGAGCAGGGGGTCGATAGAAGGGAGGGCATATTGGGGGAGGGGATAATCAAAAGCAAACACTTCTGAGGAGGGACAGGGTCAAAAGAGAGAATAGAATAAATGGGGAGTAGGATAGGATGAAGGGAAATATACTTAGTTTTTCACAACACAACTACTATGGAAGTGTTTTGCATGACTACACATCTGTAGCCTGTACCAAGATGCTTGCCTTTTCAATGACAGTGGGTGGGGAGGGAGGAAGGGAGAAAATTTGTAACTCAAAGTTTTAAAAACACATGTTAAAAATTTAAAAATTTTTTTAAAAGTACATAGGAACATGATAAGAGAGAGGCAACTAGCCTGATATCTTCCTGAAAAAAAAAATGTGGCCACCTCCCCAAGACCATCAGGTATTAATTTCCTTAGCTATGCTCATTCATTCTTTTTATTCATATTCATACCAAGCTACAATCATGAGATTATTTCTTGTTCCAATTGGCTAATTTGTTTATTGATAACTACAACTTCTGCATGGTAAGGAATTATTAGTGTGGAAATTTTCTCTGTTGCTGAAAAGACAAGCAATTCATCAATAATTTATAATTTTATAGAGTTGCCTGGAAAACAGAGGTTAAGTGACTTGTGCATGATCATAGAGCAGTATGTTGCTGAAGCTGGACTTTTAAGCCAGGTCTCCCTGTCATGCTGCTTCTCATCCATCATGCCTAATAAGGTTTAATCATAAGCAGTAACTCTGCAAGTAAAATTCTCAAGCTCTGATGTCTAGATATTCACTTAAAGAGAAACATCTACACTTGGATTTCTTTCTAGGGAGGTTCCTAGCTCCTGAGAATCAAATGGGATTAATTATCATAGAAAACTGCCCTAATTTTCAATCCATTTCTCCTCTAGATAAAAAAAAGAACCAATGTCTCACATAAAGAAATAGAAAGAATGGCCTGTGAGAGTGGTGACAGTGATGAAAATGGGCCCCTCTAGATTATTGTTTCCTTCAGTATTTCTATTATGATGTATGTTTCCTTAGTTTCTCTGTCCAAAACCTCCACTCATCTCCCACCCTGAGAAGTCTACTCCCTGGGAAGTTCATGCCATCTGAACTCTCCTGAGCTCCAGTGACTTTCCCAAGTCCTGTGTGTTCATTTTCTCTGAAATATTCATCTCACCACTGGAGTTAAAGTCTTCTGACTGGCCCTGGCCATCAACGACTTGACTTTTTGAGGTTCTGGAAAAAGAAAAGGTGTGGTGCCTAGAAAAGGAGGTCTTGCAGTTGTGATGAGATTCCTTGAGGCTGTCTGGTAACGAAACATCTGAGTCCTCTTCTAAGTCCACTGGAGAAAAAAAAGAGAACAAAAGCTAGGTTATTGTCACCTTATAACAGTGAATAGTTTCCTTGAATTCTGCTACTTGCCTGGGCCTCTGCAGCTTTTCTGGTATCAGAAATGTTTTGAAAAGACAACTGTCCCACTTTTCTATTTCTATCCCCCACGTAGAATATTATCTGGCACACAATATATGCTTTCCCCAATTTTCTCTCTTCTATTCGATTGTCTACTTCACTGCTGCTTACAAACAAATTTGAATTTCTGCCATCCTTAAAAAAAATCTCATAATTTCAAGTTGTTCTCTGTCTCACAGCCAAGCTCCTAGAATGCTATTTATACTTACTGCCTCCTTTTTATCACCTAGTTCCTTCACAGTCCCCCACAATTTATCTCTGACCTCATTACTCAACTAAACTTGTTCTTTCCAAGGTTGCCAATAATTTAACTGCCATATCCAATGGCCCTTTCTTAGTCCTTATTCTTCTTGACTCCTCTACAGCATTTGATTCTGTTGATAATCATCTCATCTTTAGACATTCTCTCCTTCTTGGATTTCTTGGCACTCCTAGACATTGTTCTCTCCTGGTTTCCTTCCTACCTGTCTAGTCATTCCTTCTCAGTTTCATCTGTTGGATCATCATCCGTATACATGTAGGTCTATTCTCCTTCTATATTCCCAATGATTTCACCAGTTCCCATGTGTTAAGCTATTGTTTCTATGAAGATGACTCCTAAATCTTTATGTACAACCTGTATCTCTCCTAAATTCTAGTTCTCCCTCACCAACTGTGTAGTGGATAACCTCCAACTGAATGTTGCCATAGATATCCCAAACAAACATGTCCAAAACAGAACTCATTCCCCCCCAAATCTTACTCTAACCCTAACATCCATATTTTTGTTAAAGGCACAACTGTCCTTCCAGTCACCAAGATTCTCAGCCTTAGTGCCTTCTCTCTTCTACCCTTTTCCTAATATAGCAAATTAGTTGATGTTTTGTTAGTTCTGTTTCTCCACGCTTCAAATTCGCTCTCTCCTCACCCCTACCTTGTAGAATCCCTTTCTTCAAAACTCAGCTCAAATATCATGTCCTACAGGAAGTCTATCCTGATGTTCAACCAATTGCTAGAAATTACGTTGTACCTATATTGTATATGTTTTGTATTTTCTTTTCTGTATATATGTCACTTACCCGCTATAAAATATGAGCTCCTTAAAGGCAAGGGCTTTCATTTTTTTTCTTGCCAATTCTAATAAGGTACTTAATAAATCCTTACTGAATGAATAAATAACATAAATGAACTTGATGATTCTTGGTATGTCAATATAAAATCACATCACTTTTATCTCCATGAAAATGGTGTGTGAGCAGGACAGGGAGTAGGGCATGTTGATTGACAGGGCTAGCTAAGGAGTACAGCCTGGGGGTTAGTAACTTTATAATATTTCAAAGCTGATTGTTCAGACTGGCCCAAACCTGTGTTGCCTCAAAAATGAGCTTCTTCAAAACCTGGAAATATTTATATGAACTGATGCTGAGTGAAATGAACAGAACCAGGAGAACAGCGTACACAGTAACAGCCACGTTGTGCAATGACTGACCTTGATAGATTTAGCTCTTCTCAGAAATCCACGGTTCTGAGACAACTCCAAAAGACTTACAATGGAAAATGCTATCCACATCCAGAGAAAGAACTATGGAGTCTGCATGCAGATGAAAGCATACTATTTACTCTCCTCTTCTTTTATTGTTTTGTTTTATTTTTTCTTTCTTGTGGTTCCTCCCATTAGTCCTAATTCATCTGTACATCATGACTAATGTGAACATATGCTTAATATAAATGTATAAGTAGAGCCTATACTAGATTGCACACTGTCTTGGGGGGGGAAGAAAATTTAAAACTCAAAATCTTATGGAAGTGAATGTTTAAAACTAAAAACAAATTATTTTTTAAAAATGTGTCTTCCTAGTACTAATTAAGATAGTGTGAGACTTGCCCTTATGACTCTACATATTCTTAACCAACCACAAGTTTAAAAACAACGTTCTCTTGGTTCTGCTCACGTCACTCAGCATCAGACCATACAAGTCTTTCCAGGTTTTTCTGAAGTCCTCCTGCTCATCATTTCTTATAGCACAATAGTATTCCATTACATTCATATACCACAACTTGCTCAGCCATTCTCCAATTGATGGGCATCCTCTCAATTTCCAATTCTTGGCCACCACAAAAAAGAGCTGCTATGAATATTTTTGTACATGTGGGTCCTTTTCCCATTTGTATGATCTCTCTGGGATACAGCCCTAGAAGTGCTATTGCTTGGTCCAAATTTAATTTTAAAAAATAAATAAAGAAGGGTCTAGAAACTCTGATTAACATGACTACTCAAGATTCCAGAGTACTCAAGATGATACATGCAACCCACTTCCTGACTGAGGTGAAAGAATCAGAGTGTAGATTAAGATAATATATTTTTGGACACGGCCAATGAAGGAATTTATTTTGCTTGACTATATGTTTGTTAAAAAAAAAAAAGTTTTTGTTTGCCATACTTTCTCAGTTGGGGTGGAGTGTGGGGTTGGCAAATTAAAAGTAGAGAAAATGGATATCTATTGATTCAAAAAATGAAACTGGGAGGGAAAAACAGGTGAAGGTTGAATGTGGCTACATTACCTGGGAAAATTTTGCAGCAAGTTTCTCTGATAAATGTCTTATTTCTAAGATACATAAAGAACGAATTAAAATGTATACGAATAAGAGCCATTCCCCAGCTGATAGTGGCCGAAGGCTATGAATAAGCAGTTTTCAAAGGATGAAATCTAAGTTATCAATAGCCAAATAACAAAATGCCCCAAATCAATAATGAATAAAGAAATGTAAATTAAAGCAACTCAGAGGTTCTACCTTATATCCCTCAAATTGGCAAAGTTGACAAAAAAAAAAGTAAGGAATGTTGAAGGGGCTATGGGAAAACAAACACATTAATTCATTGTTGGTATAGCTGTGAATTGGTCTAGCCATTCTGGAAAGCAATTTGGAACACTGACACAGCTATGCCACTAGTGGGCTGAATTGATAATTAATTTATGAAATTATGAAATGGGGGCAGGCACACATAGTTCTTTAGGTACTTGCTGAGGAAGTGGGAAATGGAGCTGCAATCATATTTTAATAAGGCACAGGGAATACAAAGACAAGTGGCAAAAGAGATATGGCAGAGGGTATAGGAATGGGATGGAATGATGAAGGAAGGCAGACAGTGTGGGGAAGAGGATAAAGATGGGGAGAGACCCAGATAATCATTCACATAAACACAGATTAGAGTTGGGAGCACTAGGTAGCATGGACCCTCCGGAGATGGGGGTAAGGGGTTGTTTGAGGTCTCATTTTTTATCAGTTTGGATTATCTGTGCCACCTTAGATTAATTCATTAACATATCCAAATTATCTCAAAGTTGTTGGTAAAACTTTAAAGTTAACATGTTCACATTATCTCAAAATCATCAGCCCCTTTGGTGTCTCACTGGTCTAGAACTTGTCTGAGATTTACATATTATAGGATCAAAAACCTTGACAACCATGCCTAGATGGCTTCCATTGATTCAGCACATGCTAATAGGATATGAATTTTGGTTAGTATATGATACAATTTGTAAATGGTGCTCTTTGATCTTTGATATGGTTTGTACACAACTTCCAAGTTCCCCTTAGTAATCTTATTTCCTGCTTTTGCCCCTTTATACTCACTATACTGACCAGAAGGGAGGGGAGAGGTCAGGGGGACCAGAACAATATACAATTTTAACACATTGGCCTATATCCCAAAGAGATCAAAAAATAAGAAAAAGGATCTTTATGTACAAAATATTTACAGGGCCACTTTTTATAGCCACTAAGAACCAGAAATTAAAGAGATGTCCATCAATTGAAGAATGTCTGAACAAATTATGTTACATAACTGTTATGAAACGTTATTATACCAGAAGAAATAACAAATGGAATGGTTTCAGAAAAACTTGGAAAGATATTTATGAACTTGTATAAAGCAAAGTGAGCAGAACCAGGAGAACAATTTACATAACAACACTATAAAAAAAAAACCCAACAGTTTTGAAAGACTGAGTAACTCTGATTGCTGCAATTACCAACCATGAAGACCAATCTAGAAGATTGATAATGAAGAATGCTACCCACTTCCTGGCAGAGAGGTGATAGATTCAAAATAAAAAATACATTTTACTCGGCAAATATTAGGATTTCTTTTGCTTCACTATGTTATAAGGGCTTTCTTTTTCTTTTTCTTTTTTTAATGAAGGGCAGTTGGAGAAAGAAAATAAATGCTTGTTAATTGAAAAAAATTTTTTTTAAAACTCACATATATGTAGTACCTTAAGGAATTCAAAGCAATTTCCTCTCAACAAACCTAGAGGGTAGGTAGCTCAAGCATTATCACCACCATTTTACAGATAAAGAAACTGAGGCTAGACAGGTGACATCCCCTCAATAAAAGGATTTGTTCTATAAAACTTAGACTCAGTCAAAAGGCCCCACCCAAGGACCTAGATGTGGCTTAGAAGTCACAGGTTCCCCACCTCTGCAAAAGTAACTAGTTTTAGTTTTAATGAGTACAGTAATAGCTATTACTGGTTTAGTAAGAAATAATAATGGCAATACTTCAGCAAAGTAGATATTTAAAGGTAGGTTTTAGCTTTATTAATATGGCATAATTAAAAGAGTGCTGGCATTAGCTTTGTGTGCTTGGGCAAGTCACTTAACCTCTCTGAACCTCAGTTTCCTCAGCCAGTCAAATGGAGATGCTTGCAATACTTACTTTCCAGGGCTATTGTGAAGAAAGTACTATACAAATGTGAGCTTATATTATCATTATCTTATTCAGCATGGTTTTATAGACCTTTGGGCATAGTTCCAAATCACTCTCCAGAATGGTTGGATCAGTTCACAACTCCATGTATTAGTGTTCCAATTTTCCCACATCTTTTCCAACATTTATCATTTTCCTTTTCTGTCATATTAGCCAATCTGATAGGTGTGAGGTGGTACCTCAGAGTTGTTTTAACTTGCATCTCTCTAATCAATAGTGATTTAGAGCATTTTTTCATATGACTATAGATAGCTTTAATTTCTTCATCTGGAAACTTCCTGTTCATATCCTTTGGCCATTTATCAAGTGGGGAATTGTATTCTTATAAATTTGACTTAGTTCTCTATATATTTTAGAAATGAGGCCTTTATCAGAAACACTGGCTATAAAATTTGTTTCCCAGCTTTCTACTTTCCTTCTAATCTTGGTTGCATTGGTTTTGTTTGTGCAAAGCCTTTTAAATTTAATGCAATCAAAACGATCCATTTTGCATTTCATAATGTTCTCTATCTTGTTTGATCATAAATTCTTACATTCTCCATAGATCTGACAGGTAAATTATTTCTAATTTGCTTATGGTATCACCTTTTATGTCTAAATCATGTATCCCTTTTGACCTTATCTTGGTAGGGTGTGAGATTTTGGTCTATGCCTAGTTTCTGCTATACTATTTTCCAGATTTCCCAGCAGTTTTTGTCAACTAGTGAGTTCTCATCTCAGTCGCTGGAGTCTTTGGGTTTATCAAACAGCTCGTTTACTTAACCTATTCCACTGATCCACCACTCTATTTCTTAGTCAGTACCAAATAGTTTTGATGACTGCTGTGTTATAATATAGTTTTTGATCTGGTACACCTACTCTACCTTCCTTTGCATTTTTTTTTCATTAGTTCTCTTGATCTTTTTAATCTTTTGTTCTTCCCATTGAATTGTTATTATTTTTTTCTAGTTTTATAAAATAACTTGTTGGTAGTTTGATTGGTATGGCACTGAATAAGTAAATTAATTTAGCTAGAATTGTCATTTTTATTGCATTAGCTCAGCCTACCTATGAGCAACTGATGTTTTTCCAATTATTTAGATGTGACTTTATTTGTGTGAAAAGTGCTTTGTAATTGTGTTCATATAGTTCCTGGGAGAATATAAGTTTCTTGAAGGCAAAGACTGTTTCATTTTTGTCTTTGTATACCCAGCCCTTGACACAGTAGGCACTTAATAAATGCAGGTTGACTGCCTGATTATCTTTTCTGATCCTCATTACAACCCCTGGGAGGTAGTTAGTACAAGGCCAATAATGCTCAGATTGCTGGAGATCTGGTTACATATCCTGGTTCTGACATTATGTGTATCTGGAAAATTCAAGCCCTCTCTAAGCTTCTGTTTCCTTCTCCATCAAGTACTATGTGAAATTTGCATTGTCTCCCTCATAGTTCTGCTGTGGGAATGAAAGAGAATGGATATGAGATTGTTTTCTAACAGCAGAGTGTTAGGCAAAAGAAAACTATTCCTGTTTCTCCGAGAGAAGGTTGTTAAGAGTGGTAATAGTCCCAGTTTACTACTCCCTGCCTATTCAGACTCAAATACTAGGTAGAAGGGAACAGAGAGAATACTAAGTGCTCCTGGAAAGCTCTCCATGATGCTGGCGCTTTTTCGAAAGCTTGGGGTCCCAAGATATCCTTCTGACCCTATTCCCCACCCATTGTGCGTTTCACTATCTTGTTTACCTCCACCTGTACTCTGCTGCCTCACAATGAGAAATCGGATCACACTGGCAGCACTGAAAAGTAATGAGCTGTCGCACAATTGTAGAAGTAGCGAAGCGTAGTTGACTTTCGTTCGGTAGGAACTATCTCCAAACCATCGCAGAGTGTCCAGCATCGTGTCTTTCGCCTTTTCATCCACTTTCTTTATTAGGGAGCATGTTATTTTTTTATCAGTTTTCCTGTTGATAATGGCCCGGCATCTGAAATAAGTGAACTCCTTCCCCTGACAGGTACTGAGTACTTTCTCGAAATAGTCCAGTAATTCCAAACTTTTCAGCCGCTTCAGAATCCTTACAAGAAATTTCTGCTGGGACCTCTCGCTAATCCTACAAAACCACTCCCTGGTGGAGAAAATTTTCCAAGCCAAATCACAAGTTTCACATTTTTGGCACATCGGGAGGTACTCAGTCTTCTGCTCACATCGCAGATCTGGGGCACAGTCAAGCCTAAGCTCCAGTTTCTGCATAACTTGCGTTGGGTACTTTCATTTTATTCTTTCTGGTTCATCGACACTACATGACAAACTCCGTGGAAGAGAAGCCTTTGATAAATGTCCCAATAGATTTTTTCCATTACAAGCCTATCTCAGAGAAATAGTCTGACTAGGCCAGGTGGAAGCCACATATCTGTACGGGCTCAGAAGTCTCTGTTGTATTGAACTCCTAGGAGACATGGCTTTACCGTAAACCTCCTAGAAATACTAAACTGCTTCTGATGCTGTATTTTCTGTTATAGGCAGGCAAGATTGAATGTATCTTGGCCTTTGACACAAAGCAAATAAGATTCACCTATTCTTAAATGAGGTCAAACACATAAACATTCCCCTGCTTGAAGGTTTTGTATTTAGAAGTCAGTTCGCTGCAAAAAGAGAGCTTGCAATAAATCTTATGTCATTACTGATGATAATTGCGCAAAACTAGCTAAAGAGGAAACACGATACAAAGGATTTGTGTCTTAGGACCTCGGACCTTCTGGCCTTTGCAAACTCAGAATAAATGTTATTTAAAATCATTTAAGTCCTATCAGCCTCAATTTATACTTTATCATATGTTATCTCAACCTCTCAAGAGATATCCTTTGTTCAGGGACCAACTCCCTCCCTTTTATCATGAAAAGGAAGAGATTCTACTAAATGACCTTTAAAGTCCCTTTTGAGATTAACTAGATAAACTAGAACTGGCCTGAAAAATTGAGTCCTCCCATTGGGGAATTCTGCTTCACCTCAGAGATGGCCCCTTATCCTTACCATGTCAAAATTCTCTTCATGCAGAAGTGATCCCATTCCAGACTGTTAACCCAAGCAGATCACCCCTTCTAGTGTCCCAAATATCTCACTAATCTTCAATCTCTTCTTGTCCACTTCTCTGCTGCTTACAAACACAATTAAGTCTCCCGCAATCCTCAATAAAAACCTCATTTGATCCATCATTCCCGTTAGCTATAGTCCCCTCTCTCTCCTACCTTTTGTAGCTAAATTCCTGAAGAAGGTTATCTACAATAGGTGCCTCTATTTCTCTCCCTTTCTTCTTAACTCTCTATAGTCTACTTTTGGCCACATCACTTAACTAAAATTGACCTCTCTAAAGTTATTAATGATGACTTAATTACCAAATTTAATGGTCTTTTCTCAATCCTCATCCTTCTTGACCTCTCTGCAGTCTTTGACATTGTCAATCACCCTCTTCTTGATATTCTCCTCTCTCTAGGTTTTTAGGACACTGTTCTGAAACTTCATTCTCCTACCTATCTGACTGTTCCTTCTCAGCCTCCTTTGCTGGCCCTTTATCCAACATTTGCTAACAGCAAGGTTCCACAAGGCTCTATCTTGGACTCTCTTTACTTCTTCCTCTATATTGTTTCACTTGGTGAACTCATCAACTTCCATAGACTCAATTATCATCACCATCCTTTTAATTTTCAAATCTACTTATCCAGCCTTAACCTCTCTGCTGACCTCCAATCTTGCATGTCTAACTACCTATTAAAATATGGAACTGGATATCCCATAGACTTCTTCAACTCAGCATGTTCAAAACTAAATTAATTATCTTTTCCCCCAAAACCTCCCCCCTACCTAAGTTCTCTATTACTGTGAATGATGGCTTCTGGGCCCAAACCAAGACTTTTGCCCCTCACCCCAAAGAGATTTGTCTATGAGCCCTAGAAAACCTTTGGATTGTCCTTGAATTCTCTTACTTGATCAAGGAAGTCTCTAACATTTGCCTGAGGCTATAATGCTATCACCTGGCCTTTCACACCCAATCTCCCAATTCTGTTACCCTTAACCTAGGCCAGCCCTCCATTGTCTATTACCTCGCTGGTGGCCCCAGCCACTACCCACCCTTGATCCTATCTAGACCCCATTCTACCTTCCAGTTACTCCCATCAAGATCTTCCCTAGGTCCTCCTCCAGTCATCCCAAACCATCTGGCCACTCCTAGATCCCTCCCACCGTCTTTCTGTATATAAAGCCCATCTTATCTCCATTAAGGCGCTCAGATTCTTTAAGAGTTTAGCCAAGGACTCTAATTCTTTTTTTTTTTTAATTTATTTTGATTTATCAACAATCACTTCCATAAGCTTTTGAATTTAAAGTTTTTCTCCCCCTCCTTCCCCAAGACGGCGTGCAATCTGATATATGCTACACATATACAGTCCTATTAAACATATTTTCACATTAGTCATGTTGTAAGAATTAGAACCAATAGGAGGAACCACCAGAAAGAGGAAACAAAACACAACAGAAGAAAAAAATAGCAAATAGTATGCTTCGATCTACATTCAAACTCCATACTTCTTTCTTTGGATGTGGATAGCATTTTCCATCATAAGACCTTTGGAGATGTCTTAGATCCTTGCATTCCTGAGAAGGGTTAAATCTATCAACATTAGTCATTGCTCAATGTGGCTATTACTGTGTACAACCTTCTGGTTCTGCTCACTTCACTCAGCATCAGTCCATACAAGTCTTTCCAGGTTTTTCTGAAGTCTGCCTGTTCATTATTTCTTATAGCACAATAGTATTCCATTACATTCATATACCACAACTCGTTCAGCCATTCCCCAATTGATGAGCATCCCCTTAATTTCCAATTCTTTGCAACAACAAAAAGGGCTGCTGTAAGTATTTTTGTACATGTGGGTCCTTTATGCATTTCTATGATCTCTATGGGATACAGCCCTAGAAGTGGTAGGCATTTAGAAGTGGTAATGCTGGGTCAAAGGTATGCACAATTTGATAGCCCTTTGGGCATAGTTCCAAATTGCTCTCCAAAATGGTTGGATCATTTCACAACTCCACCAGCAATGCATTAGTGTTCCAATTTTCCCACATCTTCTCCAACATGTATCATGTTCCTGTTTTGTCATGTTGGCCAATCTGATAGGTGTGATGTGGTACCTCAGAGTTGTTTTGATTTGCATTTCTCTAATCAATAGTGATTTAGAACATTTTTTTCATATGACTATAGATGGCTTTAATTTCTTCATCTGAGAGCTGCCTGTTCATATCCTTTAACCATTTATCAATTGGGTTGTATTGTATTCTTGTTCTCTATATATTTTAGAGATGAGGCCCTTATCAGAGAGACTGCTTGTAAAAATACTTTCCCAGTTTTCTACTTCCCTCCTAATCTTGGTTGCATTGCCTTTCTTTGTGCAAAAACTTTTCAGTTTAATGTAAACAAAGTTATCCATTTTGTATTTCATAATGTTCTCTATCTCCTATTTGGTCATGAATTCTTCTGATCTCCATAAATCTGACAGGTAAACTATTCCTTGCTCTCCCAGTTTGCTTATAGTATCAGCCTTTATATCTAAATCATGAACCCATCTTGACTTTATTTCAGTATGTGGAGTGAGATTTTGGTCCATGCCTAGTTTCTGCCATACTCTTTTCCTGTTTTCCCAGCAGTTTTTGTCCCAATAGTGAGTTCTTATCCCAAAAGCTGGGGTCTTTGGGTTTATCAAATAGTAGATTACTGTAGTCATTGACTACTGTGTCTTGTATATCTAACCTATTCCACTGATCCACCACTCTATTTCTTAGCCAGTACCAAGTAGTTTTGATGATTGCTGCTTTATAATACAATTTAAGATCTGGAACAGCTAGGCCACCTTTTCCTGCATTTCTTTTAATTAGTTCCCTTGATATTTTGGAACTTTTGTTATTCCAAATGAGTCTTTTTTTAAAATTTTTTTTTCTAGCTCTATAAAATAATTTTTGGTAGTTTCATTGGTATGGCACTGAATAAGTAAATTAGCTTTGGTAGAATTGTCATTTTTATTATATTAGCTCAGCCTACCCATGAGCAACTGATGTTTTTCCAGTTATTTAGATCTGACTTTATTTATATGAAACAAGGGCTCTGCTTCTTAAAATCTGGCGTGCTTGCATTAAGTGATACAAATGCTTACATTCCTTAAGAGTCTGGCCAATATGGCAGATCTTTAATAAACCTTATCTTTGGCTGAAAGAAGGCTTGGGTCGAATTCATTTGGGCGGGACCTGCATATCATTATCTTGGGGTCCCAGGATTCCTAAACCTCTAAACCTCAACATGAAGAGCACCACCATTATTCCAGTCACTCAGGCTCCCAATCTAGGTGTCATCCTCAACTCCTCACACTCTTTTATCCCTCTCTCCCCCATATCCACTCTGTTTCCAAAGCTGTTGATTTTGATTTCGTTACATCTCTCCATATGCCCCTTATGAAAATTAATTATTGATCTTATATTTTACCTTTGATTCCGCTCTGTAATTAATTTCATTCTGTAGCCTTCTATATAAAATTATAATAAACCTCAGCACTTTTCCCTGTCTATGAGTATAGAAGCACATGAGTTCAAATATTCAGCCTCTTTCTCTCTAGTTAGATGCAAAGGTTTAAATTTTCCCACAATCACTGTTAAAGAAAAACTCTGAACTAAGTTTAGAGGTTCAATACAACACTCTAAGGGACTTGGTATCTCAACACCATCTGCAAATCACTCTGTGGCAAGAAAGTTTATTATCCTGAGAAACTACAGGGTATCTGTGGGCCATCTTTGAGAGCAGGCAAACTGACCTTGTCCCATCTTAACCTCATCCTTGGTCTTATCTTAGTCTAATTATCTAAATCTGCTACTCCCAGTCCACTATCAATGACCCAGGGATGCAGTTGGGTCCCATAAATTCATAAAACATTCCTTTGAAACAGAGAAAGACGGTCTTCAGCCCATGTGTGTGTATGCCCTCTTTCCTTAATGTATCCAATCATGATTCCCACCCTCACCCCTGTGATGCCAGCCAATTATATGATTTTTGTTCTGTTCTTTGTATATGCTTATAAAAATAACATGCATCTTCATTTCTGGATCTTTTGGCCTTTTGGAGGCCCTCCATTGACCATTTTATTTACAAGTAGTCTACCCCTTAATAAGATGATATCTTGCTTGGAAAAACATGCCTCAGTTTACTTTTTTGT